GGTCCCCAGGTGCCCAGGCAGCCCCCCCGGGGGCCCCCGGGCACCCCCCCCGGGCCAGCCGAGCCCAAGGATGGCTGTCCTTCCCCAGGGCATCATGGCCATGCCCACGACATCACATTGGCCCGAGGGGACCCTGCGGCGACCCCCAGCCCTCCTGTCTTCTTCCAAGCGCCGACATGGGTCCTCTATTCCCACCCCACCAGCTCCATGTCACGGGTCAACATGGGGGTTCACCTGAGCACCTTCCCCAGGGACGTGGAGAGCTGGACCGAGCCATGGGTCATCTACGAGGGCCCAAGCGCTTACTCTGACCTGGCTTACATGGAGCTGCCCTACAACGAGGCCTCCATCGCTGGCGGCTCAGCCATCGTTTTTGCCTGCCTCTATGAGAACGGGACACGGTCACCCTACGAGCAGATCTCCTTCAGCATGTTCACGCTGCAGGATGTGCTCCAGAACATCCCCCTGACAGCCACAGCTCCCCAGCGGGACAGCAGCCCCCTACGCCATGGGAAATGGGGGCAAAGGAGCTGCCTCCTCTCCTAGGTGCCCCCCAAGGTCGAATCTCCCTGCTCCCCCCATGCCAGACCCCGGGACACCAACCCAGAGGCCAGTGCGCTGGGATGCTCACAGCCCAGGGTCCTGCCACTGGCCAGCACGGCCACAACACAGAAGGCACACGCTACCATCCCAAAACTGGGGTTTCTCTCACTTTTATTGCTGTTTTTTAATTATTTAGTCAGTTGGGCATGGAGGCTTGGGGCACCAGCCCAGCCCAGGCTCCCTTCCGAGCACAAGCCACCCATGAAATACGTAACGGGAAGCAACAGCAGCGAGGCAGGGGAGGAGGCAGCTGGGTGCCAGGTCACGGGGACACAAGGCCCTGTCTGTGCCATACCTGGTACTGCCACCCTGCTCCCAGCGTTTTCTTGCCATGGTCATAAATATTTACATTCCTTTTTTTTTTTTTTTATTGCTCTTTTTTTATTGATCCTGTTTGAGGCAATTGCTCTTTTTCTCAACGGTCTCTCCAAAATCACCCAGTTACTGTTTAATCTGGCTGACTGTTTTTTTTTTTAACCTACCACAGACAGTGCTGCTTTCCTCTGAACCTGATCAGTTTGGGGGCAAACATCCTCCCCGCACCTGCAGCTTCAGGCCTGTACCCCTACTCGGTCCCTGTATCCCCCCCCGCAGGGATGGGGGATGCACTGAAGCCGGGGACACCCCCCTGCAATGGGGTCCTGGGCTGGTGGGAACAAGCGGCTGCTCCTGACGTCTGCTGCATGCGTGTGTGTCTGTGTGGGTGAACTTTGGGGGACTACACCTCATTTCCAGCACTACCTCCTTCAGCACGACTCCATCCCCAGCCAGAGCCCAGCTCGGCTCCTCCAGTCTCCTTTGTCCCTCCTTGCCCTGCATGGGAGACAAACACCAACACCAGCTGCCCTAAATAGAGATTGATTAACAAAATAAGTTAGTGTTCTAGCTCTTATCTCTACGAATATCACCATGTCACATGTTGCGCTCGGGTGGAGGCCAATGAGGAGCAGCCAGGGAAGCCGTTGGGCTTGTGCCAGGATGCCGGGAGCCAGATCCTCACCTCCATTGCTCACCGGGCTGGTTTCCAGCCCCAAACGGCTGCCAGCCCCAAGGGCACCCACTCCAGCGTGGAAGAAGGGGTCTTGCCCAGGCAGAGGGTTCTGCACGGAGGCAGCCCTTTGCACACTGACCCCACGTACGTCGCTTCGACACGTGCGGGCTGGGGCGTCTGTCCCGCATGGGGGAGGCTGTCTGTCTTGCACCGGGCTCTTGCACCAGGCTGGCATCACAGCTTGTGCCATATCCCTGCTGGAGCATTTGCCACTTGGCCAAGGGACACCCGGGGATGACGTCTCCCCCAAGCACCAGCCTCCTGCCACCACTGCAGGTCCCTACTTCCCCTCGCAAAAGCCGCAGAGGCACCCAAAGCAGCCATTGAGGATCTGGAGCGAGGCCAGCACCATCTCGGTGGCGCTGATGAGCAGCAGGAGGGAGAAGAGGACAACGTTCCAGGCCACAATGCCCACTGGCTCCAGGCAGATGCTCCAGGTGTGACGATCGTACAGGTAATTCTCCACCCTGTGAGACGGGGAGAGGAGAAGATGCAAGATGCTGCCCTGGGGTGGGTCAGGAATTGCATCACTTTCCACCGTGACGGTGTGCCCCTGGCGCCCTGTTCTTCATTCCGAGGATGAGCAGGGTCAGCAGGGTGATGGGGATGGGAAGTGCCACGTAGAAAACCGTGGACGGTGAGGACCTCTTGAGCTAGCAGGGTCTTGCACCACCACCAGCAAGCCCACCTGCCATAAGTAACACCAACTTAATTAGCAATAAGCTGATGAAGCAACACCAGCAACTCAACTCTGCTGCCTCACCTGGTGTCAGGCTCCTGGCTGCCATCATCCAGGAAGGGGTAACCCCAGAGGGTCCCATGCTTGGAGGCGTTGTAGAAGCAGAGGGGTCCGTTGGTCAAACCCACCCCAGAGAGGACGAAGCAGGCAGCAGCACCCAGGAGCGCCAGCTTGGAGAGGACGGCAGAGATGAAAGCCTGTGGGCAGCAGCCAGGGAGAGCAGGGGGACCAAAAATCAGGTGGGTTCCAAAAGGCAGCTGTGCCTTATCGACGGAGTTTGGGTAAGGGGGCAAAACTCCCCTTGCCTTTGCCCCAAGGGGCTCCAGCCCCAGGGAGCAGAGGCTGAAACCATCGCCGGGTCATTTCGAGCTGGGCAGAAGCGGGGAGGGAGCGGCCTCACGGAGCCCACGCCAGCGTGCATGGGAAGCCCTGTCCTCCGGGAAGGCGCCATCACACAGCATCCCGCCACCAGAGAGGGGGCTCCTGGCCACATCCCACCCAGGGGCCGTGGGAGAGGGGGATCCGTGCCACATCCCACCACAGGGGCACAGGAGAGGTAGCATCCTGCCATGTCCCACCCAGGGGCCACCTGCCGTCATGCGCCGCCTGGGACCACTTTAGCACGGGGGTCCCGGTGCTGACTTACGTTTGCACGGGTGCCACAGTCGGAGCAGCCGGCGCATCGCCACCCCAGCGCCGTGATGTGGGTCGCTGCCAGCAGCACCTGCAGGAGGGAAAAAAGCAGATAGGGGGAGGCAAAGGGGAGCCCCCTGCTCCATCCCTTGCTCCCTGCTCCACGGACATGGGAGGAAGGATGGGGTGGAAACCGCAATACTCACAGCGATGCCGCCTCCCCAGATGCCCGGCATGGTCGTGGCATCCTTGCTGATGTGCCCCTCCACCAGGTACTTTGATGCTCCACCAGGGAAGAGCAGGAGGATGTTGGCTGCCACAGAGAGTGTGCCCAGCGCCAGCAGGCAGGGCCCCACAATCCGGCTGCACTTCCCCACACACATGGCCACCCTGCACAGGGACAGGGAGGAAAAGGAGGAGAGGAAGGGGCTGCCTTCAGCCCTGCGATGCCCCACGGCTTCCCTGAGCCCCTCTCACAGACACAGGTGGATGAGAGGTTGCTGGGTTTGTGTAGGTCCCAGTCTACCCCACCAGCACTGTCTTTACTTGAGAGCAATTTCCAATGGAAATCCTGTTTTCCTCATGCCATCTAATTAATTAAATGCTAAAAATAAATTCAACCAACACCAATCTACTGCCGCCAAAGTTTTCTTGAGGCTGAGCTATTTTATTGCAGGAGGAGAAGCCCAACTTCAGACCTGCTAGTATTTCCTTGCCAAATAGGCAAGGGAGTTTTTAAGACACTGGCGGGTCCTGCACTGAACTTTGAAACCTGTGCAACCTGCAGGGTTGGCTCCTCCACAACGTTACTGCAGGAAGGAGACCAACCACTGCAGCTTGGTTTGACTTTGAGTGCTTACAGTGAGCAGGAGGGAGCCGAGAATGGGGGCGAAATCCTTGGACAAGGACTTGTGAGAGCACATCAGTCTCCAATCAAATCCAACAGCAGCTCCATCCCCATCATGCGCTAGTCCTGACATAGCTCTGAGTACACTGAAACCAATTCAAGGCAATTAAGAAAAGGTCATCACCTTACTCTCAGGCAAGGCATCCAGCTCCGTTGGCATTTTATTAAGTTGCCAGTTCACCTAGAAAGTGCCTGCCCATCTCCTTGTCAAAAATTAGCCCTCCCTCTGCTGTCCCTGCAAGACAGGGGTTGTCCATTGGTGGCTCCGGGACCGCTGAAAACAACCTGGTCCTGGCTTCCCGTGTTTCTTCCACCCTGTGCTCATTCTTGCTTCAGGTTGGTTTTACGCCTTTCCCCCTTTCCTGGTGGTTGCCACCCATTTTGCACAAGCTCCCTGAATCAAGCTGCTTCTCACACTGGCTAACTTATTTCAAGCTCGCTCTGGCTTTGCAGAAGCAGAAGCAAACGGGCACCACGTGGTTGTTTCCGTGGGAAAGGCTGCCTCAGCCCCCCCTTGCCTGCAGTGGTGGCGATGGGAAGGAGTGTCCAGCCTCGGCACTGCCCGAGAGGCTGAGGGGCGCCAGCCCAGTGGGGATTCACATCGCTGTGACTGGCGAGAGACCGGCCACGCCAGCCCCAGCAGGCTGCTGGGGGCCAGGGAGGGCTGAACATGGAGAAACAGGGCTGCAAAACCCGGCTGCATGGAGAGGGCACAAGCCAAGAAGCCCAAGGTGGACCACCAGCTCCACCCATCCTGGAGCTTCACCTTCCCTCAGCTTTTGATCCTCCATGCCCTGGTTATAAGGAATGAGGGCCTCTTGCCATGATCCCTCCTGCCAGCCAGGGGTTGTGCGTGGTTGCTCCCCCAGAGCCACAAGCATCCGCTGCTGGATGTCCCACCTCCCTGCTTTGGAGGACATTCCAGAATTGCTTCTCTGGAGCTCACAGCGTGGGCCAGAGGCTTTTGCGGTCTTCTGCAAGTCTCCCCTTAACCTCTCCAAGGACTCTGCCCTCTCCCTGGGGAAGGCAGGAGGTCTCCTTACCCCAGGAAGCACTCCAGGGCTCGCTGTGCCCCCGGCACTCCTCTTGAGCAAGCAGCAAGTTTGCTTTAGCTGCCTTCTTCTACCTCAGCCGATACAGAGACACAAACCATAAGGGGAGGTAAAGCAGAAGTGCAGCTGCACCAGTCTCTGTTAGGATGCTCGAAAGAAAGGCTCCCTGCCTGCCAGCGTGCCTCCATGGTCAAAAGCAAGGGGATTCAAGCAAAGCCCAGGGAAGCCCTCCTCCTGCCTTCCCGGCTTACCTGGGAGCGATGCCACGTGGAGCCAAGCAGTATCCACTCCTCAGATGAGCCCTCTCCTGGAGGCATCGCCCATGGGTGACTATTTATGACATCCTAGCGTGTGCTCCACGTCTTCCTCCTCCACCCCGGGGTCCACCCACTGCATCAGTCATGACCCTTCCCTCTCCCACACAACTGGCGGCCCGAAAGGAAGAATGACTGTCCCGTCTGAATGAGGCAGCCTCTGCCAACGTTGCAGCTGATCAGTCTCTCCGATTATGTCCCCTTTCAGTAGCAGAAGCCCCGAGACCACCAAAGCAAGCACAACTTCAGATTTTAAGGCTTCTACCCTAAGTGCCTTGCCCATTGCCTGAGCAGCAAACACTGTTTCTCCTGGAACGACCTGCCATGACTATGTAGGGAGAACATTTCCCCCTCTCCTCTGCAGTCCACTCCAAACACTATCGTTCCATCACCATGAGTCCATGTCCTCCACCAAGGGCTGCTTCTTCCATCACATTTTACCTTATTTCCAAGAGCTTTGTGCATGGGTGCTGAACAGCTCAGGCTTTTCCTTTTCTCATTTTTACCCCCAGGAGGGAGCACACTAATGTGTTAATAAAAGCTGCTAAATAAATCTTCTCCTGTCTCAGATGGTTCCTATCTCCCGCCCTTTGTTTCCTTGCAGATGGCCTGGGTGCTGAGCATACCCCCACATCTCACACCTTGGTGGTAACACTGAGAGATAAAGGTTATTTTTGGATATCATAATTATTGCAAGTCATCAGACACCAGCATTTCAAAGTCCCATGGCTAGCAGTCAGTGTGCAATGGGGTAGCTCCTCTTCTGTCCCCACAGAAAAGCTCTGGCTGTAGCAGCTCTGAAGCGGGAACAGGACCAGGAGAACATGACCTCCGTGTGCGAGACTAGGAGACAGGGAAGCTGTAGTACCAAAAAAAAAAAAGCAAAAAATGGGGCAGTTTTTCTGGCAGAGGAAAAGCAAGCACAAGTGAAGAGGAGAGCTGCTCATGGGCTGTGCAGGCAGAAGGAAGCATCTCCTCAAAGAATAGTTTGGGGAAGGTTCGTATTCCTTGTGCATTCATCATGAGGACCTGAGGCACATCAGCTACACGGGATGTGGGTTTTCCCATCTGCAACAGCCACAGGAGACAAAGAGTAAATGCAGATATCTTACAGCTTACAGTCTTGCTCCAATACAGTAAATAAATTAAAAAAAAAAGCAATGAGTGCGCTACCTTTTGGGTTATAACACAACTTGCTCTACCTAGGGTAATACCCACGAGTAGCATTGGTCATCACATTTGAAAGAGGCCTTTCCTGCTTTCAAATCAGCGAGTACGGGGCTGTTGAGAATATAAAACCTGCTCTAAGGACAGCGTGCCACTGTCCGTCAGAAGAAACAGAACATGGAATTGGAGCCTCTAAGTGCCGCATGGAAAAAGATGAACAGGTGAGGCTGGGCTACATCAGCCACTTCTGTTTTTCTAGGAAAAATAAGATGAGAGGAGCAGATTATCTGAATAAGGATAGTTCCTCTGAAAGGAAAATCAGAGTTTGCACCAGTGCGTAAATCCCCATTTTATTCTTAGAGAACAGGAATCTTGTCTCTGAAACGCAGACAGCAGCAAAGGCGAAACTCGCACCAGATTGCAGAGGATAATCTTTTTCCTCAGAGAGGAAGCGTTTTTCACTCTGCTGGAAGAAAATGTGTTGCAACCTCATCTTGTGCCCTCTTCCTACGTAGCCACACACATGATCCGGTCAATCATCTCCCACAGAAAACCCCATGCTGTTCAGCATGAAACATCAGGGTGAATCTTTTCCCCAGGTCACTGATCTTCCCCTTATACCCACTCCAGCCCAAGTCCATAATAGCAATAATAAAAGGCTAATTTTAGCCCTGCACCACTTCCCAAGCACCGTGAGCAGCTGCATGCCTCCTGTTCTTGCACGAGAATTTAATTACAAAAGCGTCAGTATGGCAATTACAGGCAAGTAACTTCACTGCCGAGTCACCCAGCCATGGCCCCGCCACACGTGGTCGCCAAGCAAAGCGATTCTGGCTCAGCAAGGTCCTCCTGAAAACCCCTTCTCTGACACTGGATCGCAGCCGAAAAGACACCGGCCACTTCCCTCATAGTCGTTTCATGTCACTTTATCCCATCATGCTTAGGGGGCTCTGCCTCTCCAGTCCATGGTTTGCAGATCACGTTTGGCAATGGCTCTTTCTGAACTTAAAAGATCTGGGAGCTTTCTATAACCGCTGCATCCATTCTCTTAACCACACTCCCCTGCTCTTTGCTTCCACAAACTCCTCTGGGGTTGTGGAAATTGCGCGGGAGGTCGGGTTTCAAGAGTGGTTCGGCTCCAAGGAGAATCAAAGAGGCTGAGTTGAGCTGGAATCGGTGAGATCCAACCACTGCACCAAACAAACCTCCACCTCGGTCCTCTCTGGAGGATGCTCAGCAGGGTTCACTGCTCTCAGTAGCATCTGCAAATCTATTTCTGCTGCTAGCTAAGGCTTCTCCGAACTCCCAACATTGGCTGCCAGTGGCAATCCCCTTAGACAAGCCCTGCATGGAGCCCGTGGCTAGAACTCGGACTGAAGAAGCACCAATCGATGCTGCTAGACAATGTGGCGTTTGCTTTAGCTTTCTTACAAATCTCACCCGATTTACTACTAAGATAAGAGAAACCAGTCCAGTTGAAAGTTGGAAGGAGTCTGCAGAAAGGAAAAATTAATTAATAACAAGAGGTATCTACTATCCTGTAGTTCCTTGATCTGCAGACTGTGATGAAAAAATATTTCCGACTCAGTTGGAATGGGAAATATTTTCCTAAGCTGCATGAAGAGATCAGGCTGTTTTCCAGCCTCGAGAGACGCACAAGCAAGCCTTCACCACAGAAACTGGGACTGTCCAGTTAATGCAGCGAGGAGAGGTGCACACACCGAAAACTGAAGAGAAAATCACCTCCAAGATACCCCTGGAAATGCAGCTAACAAAAACAACAAAACAAACCCCAAACCCAAAAACCAAGAGATGAAGAAAGCTACTGAAAACAGTTTGTTTTATTTCCAGGATCAAATATTACAATAGGACATTTACATATATTTATAAAAAAATGCAGCAGTTGTGTATATAGATCAGAGGTTTCCTTGAGTTTGGTCCCTCCCAGCGCACCAAGCTGAAATCTTCCCAATTAATCCTCTTCCTCCTCCCACGTGAAGTCGCCATCATTGAAGAAAAAAAGTGACTACCATAAAATCCGACAAAGTTTTGAAACTCGAAGTCGACCAATTGGAGGAAACGGCCTCATTTTAAAAACCAAAAAAATACCTATCCTATCGCGTGGTGCCTCTGATGAGGCACCACATCTCTGAGCTGAGTTTTACCCAGATGTTCTTCATATAAATCTGTTCTATAAAATAGCACCTCATCCCCCTGCTCCACATACTTCTACTATCTATCCTCCTACACCTTAAAGTCTCAGCACCATTTAACAAGCAGTTACAAAATGACTTTTCTCTGTACTGCAGACACTCACAGTAATTAAAGACAGTGACCCAATCCTGAACTTCAGCAATCACTCGTTAAATACCTCTGTAAAACAACAGAAGATAGAACTGAGGCAAGCGGAGGCACTGCTGTCAAGCGCCACATTCTCCGATTAAAAACATGTCTCTGTGTGTGTACATATATGTATATACATATGGCTATATTTATTGGGAGTGGACAGACACTAAAGCATCTCACGGACAAGAAGAGACTGGAGTAAAAACCATCCTGTACATCACCACAGAAAGGGTATCCATTAACCTCGCCAGTTCAGGGGCAGGTAGCAGAGTTTAACCAAACTGTGGGAAGATCTTGGGCTCGGACAGAGAAACCCTCAGCAAGACTGTCTCTGCAGAACGTAAACTCAGGAGCTGGTTGTCAAACGCCTTCAGATCAACTCCAAACACACGACCGCGGCTACTTCCAACAACGCAGATGGCCAATGTAGGGCTCAAAACATGACTTCTGTTTTGCCTTTGGAGCAGGTGTTGGATTTACAGAAGATAATTTCTGTTAAAATGAATAAGAAAGGGTGGGGGAGAGGAGATGCTGCATTCAAATCTACTAAAGCAAGACACACCCAGTCTTTATGGGACTGAGACTTTGCAATTCACCCATCTAAAGCACGCCTCTGCTACCCCTCCTCCTCTTGGAACACAGGACCACTTATTTTTTACTACCTTGAACAAAAAGGGAATAAAGCAGGAAGAAAAAGTAGTGAAGTTTACCAAAAACTTAAGAAGGGATAAAAATTAAGCTGCAAGTTCCTGAAATGACATGCATCTTCCCGTTCACACGGCCGTTCCCGCACAGGTCTCTGTGTCACCTGTTTCTACATGGTTTAGAGAAACAACCACCACATTTTATGCATCTCTGCAGCGTTTGGCACCTGCTGAAATGCAGCCCAAGTGGTGCCCTGCCCCCAAAAGCAAATTGCTTTTGGGTTAGCCCTTGTTGCTCTTGGAGTCCCTGCAAACATCCTCAGTGCTCCAGCATGAACAGAAATTTGAGAAATCAGGCCCTTCAGCAGCGAGGTTTATTTATTAAAACCTGGACTAAAACCAGCTGCCAGTTTCCACAAGGGTACAAACCATAGCACCAATAGAAGTGGAAGCTGGTGCCAACATGTATATATATAAATCTGGTAGTCTTTAAAAAAAAACATGGCTACAAAAGTAGTGGACCGTGTGAAACGCAAGCTGTTTGCAGCAGCAAACAACGGACATGCTTTGCAGACGGAGAGGTGTTATTCTCCTGTAACAACGAGGCAGCAGATCTAGTGAGCTCTGGAAAGTCTGCGGATGTAAAATTGCTGTTTGAATCTACTTAGGAACAATGGCACCTCTGAATGCCTTTTTACAGACAACTATATTTTACACGGCTATTGTGCACATACATGGACATCCCTTTAAATGCTGGTTTTGTCAACTTATCGGATTTATCAGGAAGAGCAACATACTTCAGCCCATGAAAGTCAGAAATGTAAAAACTGCAGCCCCTAATTCAAAGCCTCATGAAAATAGCACAGGTACGTCCAGAAACGTTTGGCATGGCCTACGTCAGTAGGGAACGCTGTGAGGTTGAAGCTGATCAGTCAGCTTGACTTAGAGCATGGTATCAACAGGAAGACCTGAAATCCTTCTCTGGGCCTCTGAAGGATCACAAGCAGGAAGCCAACAGTAAAATGTGTCAATAGTGCCTGGCAGGGAAAGCCAGTTCTCAGTTTGCCTTCTGTTTCTGAACACAGGTTGCAACTGTGACTTAGCTGCAATTAGGCATTAAAGGTCAAGACAAAGCATTGTTAGACAAAGAGCAGGTGCAAAGTAAACTTCTCCAGAAGCAGCAAGAAGCTACAGCTTGAAATGCGATAGCGCTGTTTAATTCTCTACCCAGAAAAACCTCCACTGCCTACATGCAATTCTGATCCTCCAAACTCATGGGAGTCCTTGCAACACAACATGCAAGCAACACCCACAGGACGCCACAAACCACTGCCTTTGAAGGATTTTTTTCTCCTTTGTCCTTCATATTTCAACACCTTATTTTGCAACCAGATTTAAGGCATTTTTCCCAACCTTGCCAAAAGCAATCTGAACTTCAGATTTAACACCTAGAAGCGATTGTGACAAAGGCTCTTTAAAATTAGAGCCCAATTAGCTCACACCTTCACTGCTACAAGCTGTTGCAGGCATCAACTTGGTTTATGTTTTCAGCCGCATTCCTCAGGCCAGCAGAACACTCTCCTCTAAACTCCAAAGGGCTTCAACTTGAATGAAGATTTGAAGGGGTTGTATCCTGTCTGGTGCTGTTTCTTAACAGCTTTCAGCCACCACAGCACAGCTGCCTGCTGCCTGTGCTGCAGCACTGTCGTTATTTGGGTTGGGAAGAGGAGTCAAAGAGGGGAGAGGATGAAGGTAGAGAAGACCCACATGCAGGGATGCACGTTTCTTAAAATTTTTTTTCTCTGCCTCCTGCTCACAGACCAAAGCAAAAGAAAACTGAAAGAAAAATCACATTGTGCCAGAGAAAGAAAACAAAACAGGCAGGCTCGTAAGTTCTTGGAACAGAACAAACTGCTAGGAACTAGGAACTTTTTTCAATGTAAATCTTCAATTTCACATCCTTCCTTCCCTGTTAGGTTATAAAAAAAGATGAATATTCTTCTAAATAAAACCTCAAGAAAAAAAAAATGAAGCGGGAGCATAAGCACTCCTGGTCCCCCGGCGCCAGCAGACCAAACCATTTATCATGCTTCAGGAGCGCGTTTCTTGATGGTTTAAAAATAAACTTGCAGCAGCCAAGTGAATATTTGCTTCCTTGGGAGAGGCGACTGATCTGCTCTTGGCATAACAAAAGCAACCAAAAGGTCACCACATACATTTGTACAACTGGGGAGGGGCAAGGGGAAGAAGAGAAGCTATCAATAAAATGGACCTAGGAGCGAACAGGCAGTCAATTCTGTGTGTTTAACTTCACTGCTAGAAAAGTTCATGTGGAACAATGTTCCCAGAGGGGATACAAACCCAAGCCTGTCCAAAACGACTTGGCCCTCTGCCAGCAAACACAGCCAACCAGCAACGACTCAAAAGAGGAATCAGTGGAACCGCAAAGGCTTCCTGCCTTATGCTGGCAGAACAGGCAGGAGAGCACGAAAGGTCGACACGCTCCCACCCCAGCCTGCCCGAG